AGTCGGACCAAATATAGCTAAGTTGTCTCGCGAGCCAAATTTATCTCTTAATGAAGACAGAATGATTAAACCACATATAGCCAAGTCTCAGCAAGTCATTGCGAGCCACATTTACCTCTTCAGACGGTTCAAAGCGAATCGCTTACATCTATAAGCATGTGTTTTGAGTCATAATTTGAAATAAATTTTGCTGAGATATGATAAATTAAGAATGGCAAAGCAAATGCAAACATGTGGATGCAATAAAAAAATATTACAAATCGCTATTTTTTCTGGATTTTTTGCATTATTTAATAAATTTATAAAATTAATAAAAGTTATATTTTAAGTATTTAATTGTAAAATCTAGTTATATCTCTTGGATAATTCGAATTCTAACATTTGGCTTTTTAAAATTTGGCCACGAAAAGAAGTGAATTCAGTCATTGGCATTCGGTGGGAATAAAATTTAGCTGCATAACGATCTGCGATTCTGTTTCTAACTGATTCGCCAGCGAGAAGATTTCACCTCTGCAGCCAATGGAACCAATAATGGGTGCATTAAAAATTGGTGTTAAACCATTGGTGAAATCTATGGCTTTTTCTCTAGACGGAAGCCCGACGGCAATTCGCAGCACTGAAATATAAGAATTTCTTCAGATTAAAAACATTTATGTAAAATTGACCGTTTTTACATTGGCTAGCACTTATCAAATCAAATGCCTTCGGTTCTATCTCCGTTGCCAAGTTGACGATTTCAGATATGCTGCTGAGGCTTAATGAGGCATAATGGATAGGCAAGAAATGTATTACAGAGGGCAGTTATACAAATTCCACTAAACGTTTTTTTTGAGACAAAAACATGCAGCAACTGAGCAGAAAAAATTTACTAATACAACAACTACTCTATATAAATCGAGCGACCATAGCTCAGGAGAAAAATTTGCCAGTGAGAGACACTTTTGTTCTTTCTCGAACGGAAGTTCTGGAACTCGTTCAAAAAGTTCAACAACTTCCTCTAGCTCGGCCTGCTTAGTTATTCGAATCTCGCGCTAAATATACATAGCTAATAATAAATAATTAATTATATGAAATTTAGAAACAGAAACAAAATGAAAAATTATGGCAAATAATTCTGAAGCATAACAACAATAATGATTTCTCTATTGCTTTTTATCGACGATAATATTTTAATAATACTCATTTCAATGAAAATCGAAGTTGTTGCGGTTCCCTCGTTGAGATTAATGTAATTCTATTGGATGTCTATGTCACTTCAAATAAATCCAAACCATCCATTTCAGCTAATTCAAATAATATTCCAAAAATTCACAAATATTTAATGAAAAATACTCAGTTTGTCTCTTCTTCCCCTATTTAATTTCCATGCATAAGGAATGGTGAAAATCCAAGATTTCGAAGTTGTCTCACATAATTCCTATTGCAAAGAACGAAACACCCTTCCAATTATAGATCTATTAGCCTAATGTGTGTTCCAACAAGTTGCTATTTCGATGCCAATAATTTAATACCCTCCTCCTGTCAACATAGTTTTTGCATGAAAACAGCCACTTCCTCATAAATATTGGCAAACCTTTCTGATTAGAGGTTAGTTAATTATTTTTTTAAGAGTCCTCACCATTATTGGTTAAACTCGCTCCACTGGCTTGTTGGGCAATATGCCACGGAGTCCCTTGGTGATAGAAATGCAATTGAGTCGCCAGCATCATACGGATGTTTGCAAAGGTTTACTCCTGCAGAGAATTGAACCTCAGCATCGGCGCTCCCAATTGAACAACAACCCACTGAGCCATTCTATCCAAATCTTGCCTTGTCTACTTAAGTTTGGCAAACATTCGATACCGTTTTTCATAGTAAATTGTTGGCCAGCACCAATTGTTATGGCATAACTTGTATAATTGAACATCAGATTCTTTAAAGGATCGGTATCAAGCTACTTGCATCAATGATTTTCTTTCTGATTTGGCTACAGTCACATTAAGCGTTCCTCAAGGTAGTTGTATCGTACTATTACTTTTCTTATTATATATTGATGACATTACCTAAATTGTTCTACTAAATTCTATCATTTATATTTGTGTTGATGTGTGTAAATTTTATTCGTTCATTTCATTCTCACGGTAGGTCGGATAATCTGTCTTCGCTACAGTGCGATCTCAATAGAATTTCAAACTGGCTGCAGCGTCATATAAATTCAGAAGGATCTTCCTAATTTCTTTATTTATGGTAATATATTATTTTCGATATTTCAAATTTTGCCATAGTCGTGGATGGAAGTCTTGATTTTGTCTTTGCTACAAAATCATAGTAAAAATGCCCTCAAGAATGCTAAATTTTATTTTTCGATCGTTTAAAACAGAAATCAATGACTTTCTTTTCTAAAGAAAATTTCTAAAGCGTTCGTTCGGCTATTTTTGAGTATAATGCAATTATCCTGCTATTATCCTATATGCCACAAATTAAGTAAATTAATTGAAGGGCTCCAGAAATACTTTGTACCTCCTTTCTCTGCTAATAGCAATTCAGTTATAAACCATAACTTCAACTTAATAATTTTCATTTGGCTCCTTATTTGTTGCCATAAATGGAAGTAAATGGCGATTGTCGCTCTTGGTTGCTTCAGGTAAACAATTAATGCACAATTGTGCCTATCGCTGGTCTTACTATCTAACTTTACATCTGACAACTGAACACAACAATAATTATTTGATGACCATTAAGTTGATGAAGATGATTCTAAAATACTTATTTCATTTTAAAAAATTCACGCAGAAAATATATTTAATTATGGAAAAAATTTATGAGAGTTTACTCAGTGTCCTTCAGGGCTGCGTCCTTTCCCCCACAATATTCAAGTATGAGATAGACTGGATAATGGATACTGCTTGTTGGCACTCAAGATATATCCGAATTAATCCAGAGCATCGTTTCACAGATCTTGAATACACTTATGATGTAGTCCTTTTTGCTGAGAGTTATAACGAAATGCAAGTAATATTAAATAACGTGTCAGAAACTGCAGCAAGAATCGGACTTAGGATCAATATAAATAGAACTAAAGCCTTTTCGTCTTGTGTGCAAGAAAAGTTGATAAAATGCCTCTTTTTGTTGCCGGTTGAGGAAGTGCCCGATTTCAAATACTTTGGGTCCACTCTAATACCAAATGGCCAGGCAAAAGATGATAGTATAACTCGGATCACGGCAGCTAGAAATGTGTCCTCGGTTGACGAAACTTTTATGGAATCGTCGTGGAATCACCATAAAAACGAAAGTCCGCATCTATATTGCCGTGATCCGTTCGATCTTGCTATATGGTTCTGAGACATGGCCAATGAAAGTGGAGGATATTAAGAAGTTATCTGCTTTTGACCAGTCTTGTCTAAGGTATATTTTATGGGTTCACCGAGTGGATAAAATCTCACAAGATCGCATTCACCTTCGTTCAAATAAATATTATCACTTGCATTAATAAATATTATCACAGAGCGCAGCCTTCGCTGGTTAGGGGACCTTCTCCGTCGTCCACCACAGAAGTTGGCGCATATTTCGTTATTTGCTAAACCGCGTGATGGATGGCGTCAAAAGCGAGGTGGGCCAATCAAGATCTGGTCTAATACGGTGAGAAAAGATTTTAAAGATATAGGTGGACCAGCAATATATGGACTTAAACGATGGAAAAAGGAATGGCTTCCATTATTGTCGACAATGGTATCAGACCGCTTGGGAGTGTCTTACCCTTGTAGCCGTTGGAGCCAGCCTAACCAGTAATGGTGAGAATTCTTAGAAGAAGAAGAAGACTCAGTTGGCATGAAAATTTATAATTTATAATTAAGACAAATATATGATCAAAGAAAAAATAATTCGTGCTTTACATAATTATACGGTGAGTACGGTGAGTGAGTGAGAATCAGTTTACAAGGATGGTCCGCGTGAAAAGCCGAAAAAGAAAGCAAATGCCGCTGAAATGTTGAAACTGTTGAAACTTAATTATTAGCATCGCTCAACAGCATTAATATCTCCATTCTTTGTCACCATTCTTCTCGCCATTTCACCAAAATTTAAAATGGCCTATATCATTAGTAAAGTGAAATGATAATAGATCAATTATCATTCATCAAAATCTTATAGTACACCTAAGTCTTTCATTCAAAAATCTGCATAATCTCGTGTGCTTCGATTACAATTGACTTAAAAAATAAGGCAATCGAAGAAATATGAGTTACAGCTGGCTCAGTTCATTCCAATCGTTACTAATACGATGAAGCAATTAGAGTTGGTTAGAGAGAAGTGGATTGAAATGGTACTGTATATTGGCAAGTAGGCCTAACTCCAGGGGAAATAAATCTCGAATCTGGATCATCTTGATAATATTGAGCAATAATCATTCGACAACTGTACGTTTACACATGCAGATTATAAATTAAGTTTACCACTGTTCTGTCCACTATTGCATTTATTTGGTTCTTTGCTAAAAGACGAGGAACTGTGTAAAGTTATAATATGAAAATGAATAAAATTTGCTGAACTTTTAATATTTTTTGCAGTGCAATAAAAACTTTCATAAGCATATTATTAGCATATTTTCTTGAAATATTTTTATTGTATTTATTTCATTGGATTAAATTTTCAAGAATTTTTGGCTTCTTAAAATGAATAGCTATTTTCAGTGAAAATCTTATTTTAAAAATTTGTCTCAAAAAAGTTTTACTTGAAAGCAGCTAATTAGCGATTTTCTTCTTTCTTTTATTTAACCTAATCAACTTCTACTGAACGATAAAATATAACAACTAATTTTTAGTATGAATTCTCAGTCCAATCTACGAATGTTTCACTTTTTCGTTTTTATTTTTATTAAATTTTTTTTTATATTTTATAAATATTTGAAATGAGTGAAATAAGCAAAAATTTACAAAAATATTGTTGTAATCGTTATAAATTGAATTAGATGAGCAGAATATAAAAAATAAAATTTTTTCTTCTTTTCCAGCAGTGGCGAAATTATGAATCAAATAATAATTGAACCTACGAGTTTAAAAAATACTTGTCAGATATGCTTTATGCCAGCCGACGGAATCCACTTCAACGTAGTGAGTTGCAGAGCATGTGCAGCTTTTTTTCGACGTACTATTGCACAAAATTTGGATTACAAATGCCGAACTGGTTTCTCTGCATGCGACATTAATAAAGGTTTTCTATAGCGAAAATTTAGATCGAACTAGGAAGAGAGCTATACTAAAATAACTGATTTATTATGTAATGTGAATTGTCTTGAAAGAAGACAATTTGCTTTAAACTTGATCGAGTTTAAAATAGAAGTAAAAGCTGTTCTAAAATAAAAACGAAAAAAGAAATAGTTGAATTAACGAAGAACAAATGCAAACTTCAAAAACTGCAAATCGTTTTTAAAGTGTACTTTTCGCTGAGGCAAAATAGCGAAGAAATGAAGTAAAGTACAAAAGAAAAGACATAATTCTATCGAACACTTTATTGAACTTCTTTCATTTAGAATCGCTTATGAATATAAATATTTTAAATAAATTTTACTTATTAATTTTACATAATTCAGCATAAATTTGACTGGTTGAAGACTGGGCCGATTATTTTATAAAGCAATACCCCTCTAAAATCGTCCTCTATTTATAATCATATTTAGATAAGCGATATTCTTGTCGTTCTTGTCGTTTCAAAAAATGCATTTCTCTTGGAATGACAACAAAAAGTTGGCCTTTTTTACTTCCTTTACTGATTTTTACAAAATAAACTTTCATGAATGTTTTATGGCAAAAACATAATAATCAAATGCAATTACAAATAAAATTTGATTTTAGTGAAATTTTTATTTTATTTTTATTCAAATTAATTTTATTTCGATTAAATCTGCATCTTTTCACTGCTTAATTTAATCTTTCTTAACTATTTTAATTTATCCTTCAATATCCCAGCATTTACTATTGTATTTTAATTATTATTGATTATTTTGATAAAAACTGAACTTAAGTAATTTCGAAATGATAAGGTAGAAAATTGCAGATTTTAAACTGAATTATGATCGAAGAAAGAATTGTCTAATACAATCGACGAGATTCGGAAAATTAGAAGTAATATTTTTTAATCGAATTAACAACTATCGTATCGTTTAATCATTATTAACAGAACCTTTGCTTATTCTTCAATTAAAGATAAAAAACTAAGCGATTAAGCAAAACGCTTTCAACGGGAATAAACAGCAGATAGTCGCACTGTGTTCGAGTAAACCAGAACCATTATCAAGTGATTCCATTACTCTTCCAACATTGCCCAGTTTTAATTATAAAAATGAAATACCAGTTGTACTTCGAATATTCGCAAAGGTAGGTTTATTTTGCAGTTTATGACCACTGAAGCAGGAAATATTCTTTACAATATATTAACGATCGTTAGCTTCTTATAAAGTGTTCTACTGGTATTCTACTGGTATTAATAATATGAACGATTGCAGAATATCTCGAACTCTAATATTTCATCACTGAGCAACATATCGAGATTAGAAACGATCAGGCTTGCTTATAAAGCTTTTTTGGCGAATCGAATATTTCCACAACCCGAGAATAACAACCTTCGTTCACCTTTGATCAGTGGTGAATTTTTAGAATTTTTATTTAAAAATCTATTATTATGCATGATTAGTAAAATCTATAGCCTTAATTATATCTATAAAAAATAACAAAGGTGTGAAATGATATCCGAAGTGGATTATGGAATAGACAGCTAAAAGAATATTCTAACCTGGCCTGAAATGTGTTTTTTCCAGTCAATGACATGCATTAAACGTTAGGTGATTTCATAAGCGACATTTTTAAAAAGTATCAGTGGGTTGCAGTGGGAAAACAGGACTGGTATGGTAGTATATTAAGTTCCCAGCAAAAATGGTGTTTTCACTTTAAATTTAATATCACTTTTAATCTGTTGTTTTTACATTTTTCCCTTTATTTTTGCGTTAATTTAGAGTTTCAATAAACAAAAATTAAAAAATTTTTTTCCTCAAATTTTGGTAAAAATTTTGAAATTTCGTTTGACTTTTTAACTTCTTTCTTTTTGCCTCTATTTACCCGAGCCCCATGAGACTTACTTATATCTCCATGTGCAAGCGATGAAAAATGAAAATCATAAAAAAATTTGCGAAGGCACAACCTATTCTGGCACGCGTGGTACCTTCAACTTTGTAATAAAATAAATATATGAACCGACTCTGAAGTCCTAAGGAGGTTATACAGATCTGCATTTACGCAGCGAGGTTGAGGTCTTGGTTATTATGGCGTGGAACATTTACAAATGTTAAATGTTAAAATATAGGGAATTATGTGATAACTACAATTTATTTAAATACCCGTGGGTATCGTTTACTTGTTGGAAGATCGCCATTCCAACTCCAGATCGAGAACAATGATAGCACCTGACTCAGAAAAAATATTGCCTCTACCACAGTGTTGCTTCGGACTCAGAAAGAAATGGAATGATGATTGCCAACCAAAAAAAATTCGACCAGTTTTTTTGGCGTGGAATGATCGGTTGACTTATTCTCACTTTAGATACAAAACAGGCTTGCGAAATTTCGATCATTATTTGGTATTTTTTATTGCAATAAGAAGTTTTGTTATTTTCTCGGAAATCCTTAAAATCCATTGATACTCTTATTTTTACGTCCATAATTTGCCTTCGTTATCCGATCTTTCTGTTCGTAAACAATACAACAAAATTACAAATTGCTTCAATTAACTCAAATATTTATTTTATGGATTCGCGATTAAATTCGCCTTGTAGTTTCATTAAAATGATCACTCGCTAAACATTTCAACTATTATTCTCCAATAGCACTCACCATTTCTAGTTGAAATGGTCATTAGGACGAGACTGTTTGAGACTGCAGAAAGCCACTTGGAGATAAAATTTTTACAAGTGGGCTCCCAACCATCTTCTCAAAATAACAATAATATATTATTTCTATTGAACCATAGGCCGTTAATAAGAGAAATTCATTTAAAATTCATAAATTCATAATAAAATAATTTCAATACAGCATTGCCGACTTTCCGCGTAAATCAAAAGTATAACAAAGTGCAAGAATTTCTTATTACCGATTTTACGCATCAAATTACCTTAGATTTGAGATTTATCGCCCAATTTATGAATGAAATCGACGTTTTCAAAACTTTTCCAGTAGAAACAAAGGTAACAAGTAATTCTATAACAAGTAATTCGTTAAAAAAAGCGAACTTTTGAGAAAAAGAATAATTAAAATTGAAATTGAGTGATAAAAAAAATTAATACATTAGTAGTATTAATTGATTATCATTGCTTTTCACTTTAATTTATTGAAATTATCGTAATTTAGTGGAGAATTTTTAAACGTTACTGGAGCTATTTTGTAATAATTGATCGTGGCTACGATATAATGTGCAAACTTGGAACTGATATTACAGGTTATCATATCATAAATCATATCATTAAATGTATCTTGATAATCAGTCAAATTTTTTGCACAAATTTTTAAAAATACAAGAATTAGAACAAAAACTATAGCTTTTCAAGGCAGCTACTAGGCCTATTTCAATTATGTCAAGAGCGGATCGGATATATCTTTTTGTAATACGATGGTAAAATATTTGTCGATTAACAATTTTTTTTTCAGTTTTTTTTATTTATTTATTTATTAATTCAATTTACTTAGTTCATTTGATATTTCCCTTCTTTTCAGTTCTCATTTTTCAGTTTTCAGTTGTAATTTATCTTTCATAAGAGGAAAAAGGGGAATAACAAAGTAAATTACCATTCCTAAAAACCTATCAGCAACGAAACATCAATTGTGCAATAATTTAAATTATTATTTAACAAATGATATTTTAAGATCGACGAATAGTTTTGGCGCAAGGGACGGTGGTGCACATAGATTTACCGCATATTGAGGGATTGAAGAAAATTACGAGCCATAATAATTACAACGATTTAATCAGGTATTATTATATATTTTCAACTACCACAGATATTTTTTGCTGTTTGAAGAGATTTAGAACGATATTTCCTAAGCCATTAATATTAATTATATTAAATATTCGGTATTATTATTATCTGAACTACTATAACTATGCTGGGTGCAATTTTTTACGAAAAAAATATGAATATATATTTAAATGGTGAATTCATTTATATTCCCTAATTTATAGACTTGATAAAGAAGTTAACGAACTATTTATAGCGATTCTCGTTAATAAAATCAAACTTTTGGAGATGAAAGAAAGCGAGTTAGCTTTCACGCTAGGATATCTCTTATGGGAGCAAACAAGTTTCTTTTCAACTTTAAATTTTTTAAATTAGCTTCAAAATTAAAAAATCACTATTTTTCGTGAAGAGCAAAGTAGAAAATAAAAGTGAAAATAAAACATTAAGATTTTCTTTTAATTTTCTAATAGGTGGTAGAAAAAATATATGAATGAATCAGTCAAAGAATAGTGCGAAAAAAGTTTGCGATGATAAGATGAAGGCATTTTAAGAGCGTACGTCGGCGCAGTTATGTGGGGAAGACTTCTTCGAAATAAGAACTGGTGTCAAGGGTGTCTTTTCCTCTACAATATCGTTACTTACTAAGCCCTGTAATGAGTGGTATCAAAAACGAGGTGAACCAATCAAGATCTGGTCTGATACGGTCAGAAAAGATTTTGAACGTATAGGTGGACCAGCAATATATAGTTTAGACGTGAAAGATGGAAAAGGAATAGCTTTTATTACTACATCAGACTGCTTGGAAGCGTCTTAGCCCTTAACCAGTAATGTTGAGAGCTGTTAGAAGATAAGATTAACTAACTGAAAAAAAACTGGCGAAATGGAATAATTTTGTCTCAAACTATTCTAAACTATTCACTTAAAATTTAAAATTTTTTTCTAAAGTTAATATTATAAGACGAGTGTCTTAAGTGATAAGTAAAATGATAATGATAACTTGTGATATATATATATATGTGATAATTACAAATTCTATTTTAAATGTAATGATGGGAACCAATCATTTGGCTGAACAAGAAAAAAAATTTCTTGCGAATGATTTAGAAAATTTCTATAAAAACGACGATCTGAATTATGCATGGCGACTATGCAAAATAATGGAAATTATTTCGGCCGCAAGCGTTTGTTTCACTGAATAATTAAAATTAAATTATTACATTTA